GCTTTTAGTATTTGTCTTTAGTAATAATTATGGATGTTGACATTTTTTTCTAAGATATCCGTTTTAATGTAAATATGTATTATAATTGTTACAAAACATTCGTATTGTCTCGTCTTTCTATACTATTTATATCATCATCAGCCTATAAGTGGCCACTGCTGAGCAAAGCCCTCTTCTCATACGGAGAAGGTTTGAGCATTAATCACCACTCTTGCCCAATGCGGGTTGGCGATTTCAAACTTATAATTAGAAATTATAAGTCCAGGTTTCCTCACGATGTTTTCCTTCACCGTATGTCAGTGGTGTCTAAATAATCATAGAAAGTACATATTACTCTGAAAAAGTTACATTGGTACTCGTAGGCTTCGAACCCTACTCATGCATGAGTAGCGGGCTCCTTAACCTTCGGGCCGAGTCAGATACTATTATATTACTATAATATTATAAATGTTACAATTACGATGTCTGGATGTTTGTTACTCAATCACGCCAAAACGGCTGGACGGATCTGGATGACATTTGGCACAGTCATAGGATACAATCCGGAATAGGACATAGGCTACTTTTTATCAACATACTAGGAAGCTAGTCTATACTAATATTATAAAGAGGTAAAATTTGTAAGTTTGTATGTAGGGAGTAATCTTTGGAACCGCTGGTCGGATTGGCAAAATTCTTTCATTGATAGATAGCTACAATGTTCCTGAGTGCTATAGGCTATAAAACGCTATGATTAAATGGAGCCGAGTAGCGGGTGAAACCGCGTGAGAGTAGCTAGTTTCTTAAAAAATCAAATACTTTTGACGATACATTTTGATTTGAAATATTGTGTACATACGCTACTCATGAATAAGAGTCCCGTTGTGGCTTGAAACTAGTCGAGTTTAAGTCAGTTAGGAGCAGGAACTGTCTGGTGTCATCAAATCAGAATAATTCCCTCGGGTATCTCAAGAGCCGGCTAAGGCCTTTAACCGGTCGGTGATGAAGGACCAAAGGGGGGTTTTTAGTCAGTAAGAGTCTGACACTCTCTCCTACCTTACCTAGGGAAAGAGGCAACATTTAATGTTTTTTTTTTCAACACAAAGAGGTTTGGAACAGTTTGCCGGCTGCAGTCTTTCCGTCCGAATACAATTAAGGTGTCTTCAAGGCTAGATTGAATAGGCTCTTAATAAACTAGTGCGCCTTACCATCAACGATTGCATCACTGCTTACCATCAGGTGGGATCGCAGTCAAGCACTAGTTTATTGCAAGTAAAAAAACAGGTACATTATAACTTTATACCCACAACGACGATAATAAAATTCTTATTCAACTAATTAAGCAATAAAAATCACATATAATTTGGGTAGACACAAACTTAATTTGGGTTAAAAACACAAAATTAAGTATTACACGTAGGTACCCGATAAAATGTCGCTTTCATTTAATTATTTAATTAAGGTAGGTACAATGTTTAATCGGATTCGGTCTTGGTATGACAAAAATGAAACTTGAATTTTACTCCGATCGGATGATAATTGGGTCTTAACCTTGGTTTTTATCGACGGGAAGGCTTAAGCGTGGGAGAGCCATGCTTCGGCACGAATGGGTCGGCTCGACCGGAGTGATACCACGGCCTCATAGAAAATCGGCGTGAAATAACCACAGCTTTGTGTTTCGCCTTGTGAGTGAGGTTACTAGAGGCTCAATCCCAAAATCTTCAAATCCGAAAAGGACGGTAACGCACTCGTAACTCCTCAGTCTATTTGCGGCACTGATTGCTTACCATCAGGTAAACCGTCTGCTCGTTTGCCGACCTATTACATAAAAAAGCGAGACGTAAGAGTCTGACATTCTTTCACGCCTCATCTAGGGCGAGAGAATTAATTTGACGACATACACCACAAAAACAATACAATACACAAGCACATAGGAATCGAAAAACAGACCGTGATTCCAATACCAGTATAGAAAAGACATTAACTAAAAATCGCAAGTTAGGCACGTGTGTAAATGGTAACATGATGGTTGTGCACCCAAAGGTTGACTGGTAGAGAATGCCATATGGCATTAAGTCCGCCTTTTGTACCAACTTTATTTCATTGTGTACAATAAAGCATAAATAAATAAATAAATGAATGGTTGCGCTGCGGCGAGTCCAACCATCCTCCATCCTATCATCATCATCATCAACAGCGATGCAGGCGCCAACGCTAACCAGTAGGCTGCGCGACATCGCCGCGTCCGCGCACGCTGCTCATGTTTAAGAACCCCTCTGTGGTTTGAAACTAGTAGAGCTTTTCTCAATTACTTACGTGAGTAACCCGCGATTTTTAGTGAATTTAGTATGTCTCACGATAGTTATTATAAAAACATAGAAAAGACATCTAACGACCACTCCCAAATAACTCCACTGTAAATATACCTATAGATAGGTACTGTGAGGTACTTATAAAAACTATAAAACCATAAAAACTGATCCGTTCTTAAATTGATGATCATCCCAACGACATCTGATACTCTCGACCGCAGAATCCATCGGTCAACTGTCTAAGGAAAAAAGAATAATATTTTTCATTATATATAAATGTATAAGTAATACGTCTTTCTGAGCTTTCATCGTTTTTATAATGATGTTACATTATTTGATTTGAGAGCTCTATTACATAGGACTTATAGCCATAAATGGGTAAAATAGTGTGTTTTGATAATGAGTGATAGAGTCCTGCTTTAGCACCACGACTTCACAGAAAACCGGCGTGAAATAACTACAGCGTTATGTTTCGAGGTTACCAGTCTAACCGACTTCTCCCGCCCAGGGTCATGTGGGAGGGAGTGTCAGACTCTTACTAAAACCCTCCCTTCCTTCTCCTGCTCTGGGCCGAGGTCACGGTGCCTCATTGCGCATACCCCGCAATCCCGGCTGAATATCAGCCCTATAGGTTCCCGTCTGTGGTGGTCTATTGACTCTTTGAGGCGCGCGCGGAACGCTACGTTCCGTACGCTCGGGTCTGGTTCTGCCCTTACTCGCCGTCCGCAGATTGGGGATGGGGAGGAACGCTTGGGCTGATTTTCATAAATTAATATATAAAAAAAATCTGGGCAAATTTTTCAGAAATAAGTATGCTATTTGACGTAGGTACTATAAAACATTATGACGTCATAATCATTGCGGTTTCATATACTATACTTACAATGTTCATAGAAAAGTATCGTTTAGACATGTCACTCAATAAAAGTATTGTATTTGACTAAGTACTAAGTTTAATAGTTAAATGCATAAAATTGCACTTTTATTTAACCTTTCAACGTGAAAGCGTATTAAAATAAGACAGATGCGTAAACTATTTAAAAAGCGTATAAAAATTCCGGTCAAGTGCGAGTCAGAGTCGCGTACTACGGATTCCGTAACATCCTGTATGGGAACCCTCCTTCAATATTTTTTTTCTTTCTTAAGGCGGTAAATGAGCTGTCCAACTATCTGATGGTAAGCAATCTCTGTCGCCCATGGACACCCACAATAGCAGAGGAGTTACGTGAGCGTTGCCGGCGTTTTTTGAGACAAGTTTTCGGATATTTAGGGATTATGGAGGGAAAATTGGGCTTCCAACACACACAAACACAACGGTTGTTGTTTTTCTATGAGGCCGTGGTATCACTCCGGTCCCACCGGCCCATTCATGCCGAAGCTATGGTTATACCGAATAGTATCATCATCATCATCATCTTCCTGCCCTTGTCCCGTTTTATTTGGGATCGGCGCAATATGTTTTTTTTTCTTCCATTCTGTCCTGTCACCCGTCACGCTATCACTGACTCCTCTGTTTTCCATATCACTTCTCACACAATCCATCCATATTTTCTTTGGTCTCCCTCTCCCTCGCCATCCCTCCACATTTATACAATCGGCAAGATTGATTGCAGGCATATCAAATAAAAAAGTATGGTTCCCTATTTTTTCCTTCGGTTACGGAACCCTTAAAACTTTCAAAATTTACGACTATTAACGGCCGTTTCAGCCAAAGAATTTTTAGTCGAACGGCAAACGGCTGTAATTAAGCGAAAATATAGACAATAAAATTATTAATTGGTAACACTGTTATAAAAACTATCATGGCGGTTGTTGATGAAGTAATTAATGTCATTCGAATAATATTTATTTGTGTGTCCGTTGGTCATTTGCATATACTGTGTTTGTGTGGGTGAATGGTAGATATAGGCGCAAAGGATGGTCAACTTTACCTGAGTTTGAGTTGTTTTCTTTTGTAAACTATCTTCTGTCCCGCGGTTTCACTCGCTGCTCGGCTCCTACAAATCGTAAAGCCTTCCTCGATATGTACTAACAAACGCAATAATAATTATTAAATGCAACCAATAGTTCTAGAGTTTAGTGCGGTCAAACAAACAAACTCGTCAGCTTTTTTAATATTATAGTAAAGATAATTTTTTTGAGTGTATGATAACAATATTTGGAGCCATGGTTTCACAGAAAACCGACGAGAAACAACCACAGCATTGCGTTTCGCCGTATGATTGACGTTACCAGAGAAGCACTCGTAACTCCAATGGTGTTATCCATGGTCGGTGCCAATCGCGAATCACCACCTCGTACCTTCGAGGTCGCAGTACATTGTTGCGCTTGACCCGTAAGCCTGGCTGAACATCAGGCCTGCAGGGTCCTATCTATAGTGGACAGTTGGCTCTTTGAGGCTCTTTGTCAAATGTGGCGGACGTTATCAAATACATCATGCAGGTTACCAGAGGCCCAATACTTTTTATCTCCCAATCCTAATCCCCAAAGGGTCGAGCAACGCACTCTACGATTGCTTACCATCAGGTCAACCATCAGCTCGTATGCTGTCCTATAACATAAAAAAACCACACGAAGAACGTTCTGACAAATACCCACCGTCACTAATTAAGTTCATCGCTCTCATCATCAGCCTATAAGTGCCCATTCCTGAGCAAAGGCCTCTTCTCATACGAATAAGGTTAGAGCATTAACCACCACGCTTGCTCAATGCGGGTTGGCGATTTCAAACTTACAATTAGAAATTATAAGTCCAGGTTTCCTCACGATGTTTACCTTCAAAGTAAGTCAGTGGTGTCTAAATAATCATAGAAAGTACATATAACTCGGAAAAAGTCACATTGGTACTTGCCAGGTTTCGAATCCACACCCTCATGCATGAGAAGTTCATCGCTCTGTCCGTATGTATATCACAAACGAAACTCGAACGAAATCCATCACGGAAATCTGCATAACTACTTACATATATGTATAAATACCTACTTAATAATTACCGGTTTTAAAGCAAACTCATTAAAATAATACATTTTTATTATCAACCTTTAAAGATCCGGCGGCATCAGTCGCATTCTTCGAATATTTCACTATGCTTAATTAATATGTAGCTTTTGAATTATTTATTCGCATATTTAAACTAAATTAGTGGGTGATTAACATTTTTTTTTATGTTAGAATAAGCTTCAATAATTAGTTTACTTCGATCACGGTGGTCATTCTTGCCAGTTTCTTCATCTAATTTCTCATTATGTTCAAATGTGTTTGATAATTTTTGAACTTTCTTAGATTTTATTTCTGGCACCATTGCCTCAAAATTGGTTCAGCTAATCACGAGAAATTCGCGGAGAAACATCTATAAATTTTAAGGAAAAAATTGAGAAACTCTTTTTTTTTAAATGACCGCTTCACTGGGATCTTCTCCTGGCGTTCGTTTTTATTTAACAAATCCATCCAGACTCGAAACAACAATTTGTGAATCACACAAACTGTTATTTAGTATGGGAATCGAAGCCGAAACACGTTGTATACCAGCCAGTTGCCCAGCCACTGCACCAGATGTGTCTACAGTCAACAATTACAAACTTTAAGTTTTTCTATGTGAACAAATGCATCATTCTTTTCTTCTTTCTTTTTTTAAACTCTATTAAAACTCATTGTCGCATTCAAAAACCGTACCAAAAACAAAGTTACATAACTATTTATCCAAAAATACAAAAATAAGCCAATTCCCGATTAAAAAATTGAAACCAATATATTAACATTAAAATTGCTCATACACACATCAACAGAGCGATCAAAACATCATATGATAATTCACTAATTAATTCATAAAAACGCCTACTGGACCCAATTTGTGGACCCCGTGAGGTTTGAACAGGTCACCCACCAACGTCGTTTCGTAATTAAGACTTTAATACAAACTAATATTATAAATCGAAAGTAACTCTGTCTGTCTGTCTGTCTTTCGTTTCTTCACGCCTAAACTACTGAACCGCTTTCTGTTAAAGTTGGTACATAGTTTGGAACTCGAAAAAGGACGTCCAAACTAATATTATAAATTCGAAAGTAACTCTGTCTGTCTGTCTGTAGTTACTTCACGCCAAAACTACTGAACCGATTTCTGTGAAATTTGGTACAGACTTTTTTACACCAGACAGATAGATTAGTTTTATACCTAATACAAACGTATAATGACTTGTATTTGACTAGATTGATTTCGACTGCACGGTTGGCGCAGTGGCTGGGCAACTGGCTGCTGTGCAACGTGTCGTGGGTTCGATTCCCGCACGGAACAACACATTGTGTGATCTACAATTTGTTGTTTCGGGTCTGGGTGTAGTGTGTATGTGAAATTGTGTGTTTGTTAACGCACCCACGACACAGGAGAAAATCCTAGTGTGGGGCAACGTTTTTTTTTTAAAAAAATAAGAATAATTTAAGTACGATTTTGGACGAAATAGCACCATAAACAAAAAAAAAAAAAAAATAGAAAATATTAATATCCATCCAAATAATATTACCAAATAGGTAATTTCTATATTAAAAGTCCTAAAAAAACAAAAGACAGTAGTTATACCAAAAAATATCGCAATAAAAAATAAAATAATAAAGGACGATTATTTAATCGTCAAACCATATGTAGGTATCTACCACAAATAACTAACTAACAAAACATCAACTGAATAAAAACTTATCCTCAAGATAAATCCGTGAACAACACACTGTGTTCACATACAAATACAAAAAAAACAAACAAACATGCTACAGTTATACTCAATGTCTTAATTAATCGCCATCTTGGGTGGCCTGTTACGTCACATCCTTAATAATCTGTAGACGCACGGCCATTTTGTCTTGAGCCGCGGTCGTGCCCGAAATAATTTAAAATATAAAAACTGCTTAAATACTTTCTGATAATACTAGTTTTAGATAGCGGTTTTCCCCGTAGTACCAGGGTAAAAAGCCTATCTATGTGTTATTCCAGGCTATCATTCTATCTCTATGTCAAATTTCATTCAGATCGGTTCAGTAGTTTTTACGTAAAAAAGTAACAAACGTACTAACAATCTGTTGCGTTGCGTTTATACTAGATTAATCACTATAATACATAGTATAAAACAATTGCTTTCTCTGTCCCTGTATCCCTATGTATGGTTAAATCTTTAAAACTACGTAATGGATTTTGATGCAGTTTTTTTAATAGATAGAGTGATTGAAGAGAAAGGTTTTAATGTATGTAATATGTATGTGTGTGTGTGTGTGTATGTAAAATGTAGTAGTACATCCATTTAATAGTGGAGAAGTTTAGTACCAGTATTACTTCGCTACTTTGGTTATAAATTGTAAAATATTAATTTTGACGTTACGAAATGAGGATTAATTGTATTGGGTAAAACACTATTTGGCAAGAAAAACGATACCAATTACTAATTCCCTCATCAGCATCATCATAAGCCATAGCTGAGCTAATACCTCTTCTCACACGGAGAAGGTTTGAGCATTAATCACCACGCTTACTCAAGTCGAATAAGCGATTACAAACTTATAATTTAGTCCAGGTTTCCTGACGATGTTTTCCTTCACCGTATTTTAGTGCATAAAAATTCAAATTTTTGAAATAAACAAAGAGCTCCTCATTCGGAGGTCTGTTTAAATTGGTCATGGTTTATAAAATGTTTTTGACGCTATAAAAATTCAGCGAGTAAGTCTGATTAGTCATAAAAGGCCGTATAAAGATAATAATTAAGCATAAAATTAATTGTTTTTGACTTTTTAATCTTTATGTTTATTATACACATCGGCCGACCGTTGAAAGTATGTACCTAATAGCCATTTTTAAGGATTACATATTCAAAAAGTGAAAACCTTAACATCTTCACTAATGCTGCTTTCTATGGCTGTACCTTAGAAATTTTGATAATTAGAGAGAATTGATATTTTTAATGTGGGAGAGCACGAATGGGGCGGTTCGACCGGAGTGATACCACGGCCTCACAGAAAACCGGCGTGAAATAACCACAGCGTTGTGTTTCGCTGTGTGAGTGAAGTTACCGGAGGACCAATACTTTCCCCCACCTCTATCTCTCCCCAATCCCAAAATCAATAAAACCCTTATCTCCAAAAAATTGTCAACGCACTTGCAACCTCTATGTTATTGCGGGTGACCATGGGCGGCGCCGATTGCCTACCATCGATATTACCAAATTACTTTTCCTAGCTTATCACATAAAAAAAGACGTCTTGGAGAATATTTTATTTTTCTAACAACATTATTATGTGTGTTTATTTATCATTATTAAAAACAATTTTCTCTTTTGTTTCAGGAAGAAGTAAGTACGGGACGCGCTCACGGGAATCACGTGAGAAAATTCCATTTATTTTTGTTTAAAAAAAAACTTTATTTATTTATTTTATTTTATTTAAGTATACAATCATATATTTTATTACTATCTACCTACTGACCTGCAGTGTGATTCTGTAAGACTTCATTCTAAACTTCGAATCTGAATCCGCTGTAAGTAGTAGTACACTAGCGCTACACTTGCGAGTTGAACTAAATTGACAGCAACATTTTGATAGATAAAGTATGAGATGACGTTAAAAGTGGCATTCTAAAATTTAATTTCCCCGTCACTTCGACGCTCTCTTCGCACTCGAACACAATTCAAAATCAAACAAATTTTATAGAATCGACGTGCTGGTGAAATCCGCGTCGCCATAAACAGTTTTGTTCCTTGTCAAATATCACACGTTTTTCTTACAAATATTTTTTTATATGGGGAAGAAGATCATTTACGTAATTTTTTTATATTTTCAATGTACTTCCGAACTTTGACTTCTGAACATATTTACCAAGACCAAAATTAAGTACTTCAGAGTTTTAGTCAGACTATACAACAGTACCTACGTCATTTTAAAAAGATTTTTTGAAAAGACACCAGAAAATCTATCTATTTGAATTTGTTTTTCTTCAGTCATACTTGTATAGATGTCCAATAATAAAATAACACTTTAGGATAGCTTGATGTAGTACTAGTAGTGTCATATTATCATATTAGGATTAGACCTCATCTGGCGGCACGGAGTCGCCTTTTTCCGCCGCCCTTTCCCTTTCTGTCGCTTAATACTGCCATTTGCTAGACTGAGACAAAAAAACATAATGCGATAGCACGCGGAGGAAACGTCGAAGCGATCGGCATCACGGACAAAATGCAATGGTCTTCAGGGAGACTCCGGAACGCTGAAGCGTGCGATAGCATGCTAATGCTAACGCATCCATTCACCTTTTTATGCGATCGCCTTTTTTGTCTGCGGAATGCGATAGCGCGCGTTCGCATGCGACAGCATACTGCTTCACGTGGTAACACAGTCAGAACAAATGCGATTCCGTGCTGAAAGATGAGGTCAAATACTAAAGCAGCCACGAAAAGTACACTGCTAGACACTATTGTATTAGTTTTTCTGCCAAAGCTGGGATCTAAGAGATCTTAAAACACCTCGACACAGGCGTTCCCTGAACCCTTTCAAATTCCACTTTCTTGTAGATGTGCTAGTGAAAACCTACTTTAAAAACGTTTTTGCATATATGCATACATTCTCACAAACTTACTATTAGTTGGATTAGGAGAATTCTTATAGTAATGGCACTACCTAAATAAACTTCAACTTTTAATTTTTGGAATTCAAACTTCTTTATCTATGGTTTATATACTTACGTATCTACATAGATATGTAAGTATATAAACCAGTTTTGAAAATGGAAAGATAATGTCTTTTTATTTCTTTATCGATTCCCTTATATGGTTTTAAAGTTTTAAAATAAACTAATACTTACTTAATAGGTACGTTTCAAATTAAATTATGCAGTAAACATAATAAATTTAATTTTATGTCTTTATTATAACAAGAGACCGGTTGCCCAACTTTCTATTAACATCGGTTTTAAATTAAATATATATGTTTTAAACTATTCATTTTAAGAGGCCATTTTTTTATTTATTTGTATTGTCTTAAGAGCTTCTTTTATCGGCCGTTATTTCAATGATTAGTTATGATGCTGTCGCCTCAGAATGTTTGTATAAGACAGTGACAGCAACAATTTTGTTCCACAGATAATATTTATCTGACTATTCAAAATATCAGCCCTAAATGAAATAGGTAGTCAAATTAAATACATTTATATTTCGAATTGACAAAATCGAATTGTTTCGACGTCATTTCTTTTTTGCGTAAAATAATTTACATATTTTTTTATTACAAAATAGCTCTAACATTAATTTTTCAATCGTGGTAATTTGAGTCACTATAGAAGAAAAATAGGTTCGCCAACGCCGGCGTTCTTTTGGGGTTTGGTGAATTAATTATAATAATTACTGTAAACCCAAAAATTTAAAGAGTTTTTCTTATTTAAATATTTCTTTACATTGGAAAGGTTTAAATGATTTATTTTCATGCACAATAATTGTATTTAACACACTATGGCTTTCGTTCTCTTTCTAATCAAAATGTGTTCCATCCCAAATTTTGATTTTGACTTACATAATTATGACTACACTCGTTCCATCATCATTTGTTTTATTGCCTTCACCTCAAACTACTTGTAGTTAGCACACACACATATCGCATGTTAAATAGAAAAAAAAGGACTAACTCATAAAAGAGGATGTTCCAAAATTGTACCTTATTATTGAAGCAAAATTTTTAAGATTCAAATACTTTATTTTTTGAGTTAGGCCTCTTTTCTGTTTAGTAAACGATTTGTATTCTTCCATTTCTCCCTTATGTGACATCATGATATTTCTAATTTCTTTTCCTTTCTTAATATATCATTCCTCATTAAATCTATCAATTTAAACTGACACCTGATTTGCAAATTTATTTACTTATAGTATTTCTATAACGATGTCAATTATATTTTCCTAGCTTCTGGCCTCGTTTTCGCACACGTGGAAAGTTGATAACAGCCTATGTGTGAACTCAGGGTAACACCTATCTACATTCCAATTTCAACCAATTCAGTCAAGCTGTTTTTGCGGGAAGGAATAACAAACATACATACATACATACGTTCTCACAAACTTTCACATTTATAATATTAGTAGGATTTCGTATTTTACACTAGACAATGATACTAAAAATAATATTTACGAATAATTTAACTTAAATAGAAAAAATACTAACTCGAAAGGAACATGATCTCTGATTCAAAATGTAGACATTTCAGAATAAATCTAGATTCATTATTTTGACAGCATGTTGTAAATTATAGTGTTAAAAATGTCTGTGCAATGTAGAAAAAATATTTTGTGACATTGAAAAATATTTTTTGTGACAAATTAAAAAAAATAATTTGTGACTCGGAAAAAAATTAAAATATTTTTTTGTAACAAATATAAAAAAATATATATATTGTGACACCTAAAAAATGTTTTGTGACATGCACATTTTTTTGTGACAAATTGAAAAAACCTTAATGTTACTACCACATTTAATTGTTACTAATTTGTTTGTCTGTGTTCATGCTTAACATTTACAATTAGTATTAAGTTTTTAGTGCACTTCAGATTAAAGAACGTTGGGAAGAGATTGATAGAATCCGTGATTAAGATGTTTTAAAAGCGTAGTAAAAGAAATCAATTCTTTAATGTATTGAAATTTTCGTAGTGTAACAAAATCTCTGAAACAGTTGATATGAAATTATGAGATCTACTTTTTGAGGTGAGAGAAGCAATCCTGTGGGTTTTCCCTGAGCGAGGCAAAAGAAAGTGTCAGACTCTTACTGACTAAAACTAAGGTCCAGGACTCCAGGCACCCCTGTTCCTTCTCTTGTTCAGAGTTGGTCAACGGTAATCTAGATTTTGTTAAAGGTTTTTTAATATGGACTTTAAATTCAGAAATAAAGATTAATTGATATTATTATTTATCAAAGACTAGCTTTTGCCCGTGACTTTGTTCGCGTGTAATCGTGAATTCCTGCATATTTTTGGTTAAAAAACTATACTATGTTCTTTCTCGAGTTACAAACTATGTCTGTACCAAATTACACAGAAATCGGTTCAGTAGTTTAGGCGTGAAAAAAAGACAGACAGACAGACAGAGTTACTTTCGCATTTATAATATCAGTTTGGAAGATTGGATTGGATATGTCAACCCCATCATATCTTTTTAGGGTAGCATTACAATTAGATATATGAGTGTGTGATATCCAATTGATATGGCTCCATTTTGATACTTCGATACGCCAAAAAAGGTCTCCCAAAACTCCAGTATCTCTTGATTTTTTTAATTCATCTTCATGATCCTCGTACTTTAATCTGAACAGCACAATCAATAAGCTTCAAAACTAAACCAAAGCGAATGTCTAATCACCACCTCCAGGTACTGAGAAGACATCACCATCATCATCACCAGCCCGTCAGACGGTCGGTGAAATATTTTGACCAATTTTATCATTATCGTCTTCAGTGCTTTATAAGCTGAGAACTGAATTGGTTAAGATATTGCATCGTCCGCTTGATTTGGGGATTCCAACGAGGGAGCTGCACTTGAATTATTGCATTTTTTGTGGGCAAAACAAGGTCAAACTTTTAGTGTGAGAGAGCCATGTTTCGGCACGAATGGGCTGATTCCAAGGCCTCACAGAATACCAGCTTGAAACATACGTGTTTAGCCGTGTGAGTGAGGTTATTTGACGCCCATTCCTTCCTACCCTCATCCTCAATCCTCTAACTATCCAGAAAAGACTGGCACCGCACTTGTGCCGTGCTAGTCTGCTGATTGCTTACCATCAGGTAATCCGTCTGCTTGTTTGCCGATATATCCCATATTAAAAACCTTTGCAGGGAATTTGTGTGTGGTTTTATAGCATTAAATGTTTTTGTGCGTATTTTTGTGTTTGCTTTCAATATTGTCGCTTTGTTTTTGTGTTGTTTTTGCTTTGTTTTGTTTTTTTTGTTGTGCTAATTTATTGTTTGTGTGTATTTTGTAACTTAAGTACTAAAATTATTTAAGCAACGCACTTTTAATATTGTTTTAATTTAAAATTATTGGAATCATATTGGATTACTTGTAATCAGAGGTCATGTTTTAACTTAGTTTAGGGCATTTTCTTGACAGTTTTTCAAGATATGTTAAACAAATTACTTATTAAAAAAAACATTTCTTTAGAAAAATATTGCTTCACACTAGGAATTTCTGCTGTGTCGTGGGTGCGTTTACAAACATACAATTTCACATACACATCACACAGACACGGAACAACAATTTGTGCATCACACAAAATGTTGTTCCGTGTGAGAATGGGACCCGCGACACGTTGCACGACAGCCAGCCCAGCCACTGCGTCTACCGTTCAATCATTACCTACTACTATTTACTCTATTTTGAACACATTACCATATATTTCTAAATCTTAATAAACACTAGTCTAGTTTTCAAATTCATAAGCACTAGGTATCAATCCTCCATTTTAGTCCATTTCTGACCAGGTCCCAGGACGCGAAGGCCGAAGAAACCCCCCGGGGACAATGCTGTACCTGACGAGAAGAGGCCCCGCACTGCATTCTCTGGACCCCAACTTGCAAGGTTAAAGGTAAGATCACCATTTTCTTAATAATGTCCTATCTTATAAGTCCAAAGGGTTGGTTTGTCAGAGTGATTGTAAGAGCTAAGCTCAGGAAATACTGGTTCATGCTGAATAAAACTTTTTGTGTTGGATAACGTACCTACTTATTAGTCGGCAAACATGACGAGCTGGTGAAATGGCCACCAGTAAATTTTTATTTCAGACTTTAAAATCAATTTTTCGTAGTCAACGCTCTATTGAAGTCAAAATTTGATTTTATAATACGTATGTTTGCTAATAAATGAAAGATAATAGTGTCAGAAAGTATGAGTTTTCTTGAATGTACCAAATAAATTACTTGCTTACATTGGATTTGCCTGATTGGTTTATTGACATTAACGACTTACTCACATGAATGAACTGAGAAAAACTCAATTGCCTGCGCGACGTCGCCGCGACGTGCACGCTGCTCATGAATAAGAGTCCCGTTCTGATTTGAAACTAGTAGACCAGTTAATTCACGTCGTTATTTTCAATATATTTAGTATGTCTCACGATAGTTACTATTCAAAAATGGCCTAATTGATTTTGGTAGCTTTGAGACTGTTCTTGCATTTCCAAAAATAGAATAGACGATTGTGATTAATGCCATTTTTGTCCCCGCAGCACGAGTTTGCGGAGAACCGCTACTTAACAGAGAGGAGACGACAGAGCCTGGCAGCAGAGCTCGGCCTGGCGGAGGCGCAGATCAAGATCTGGTTCCAGAACAAGCGAGCCAAGATCAAGAAGGCCTCTGGTCAGAGGAACCCCCTCGCATTGCAGCTTATGGCACAAGGCCTGTACAACCACAGCACCGTTCCTTTGACTAAAGAGGAGGAGGAGTTGGAGATGAAGGCTCGGGAGAGAGAACAGCAGTTGAATAGAGTATAAGAGTAGGCGTTTTGTAGGTGGGAGCGTGACTTCATTGAGTTTTGATGATTGGAGTTTGTGGTTTGTTTTTGACAGAGCTGATGTTCAGTCGGGGTTTTGTATCAAGCGTAATAATGTACCACAGCTTCGGCCTGGAGCAGCAGAAGGAAGGGGATGGTTTAGTAAGAGTCTGACAATCCCTCTTGTCCCTTCTGTGCCTTAAGGCTTAGGTCATTCTGTATCCTGCATTAAATTGACCGAGGGAAGTGGAAACTATTTCCTCAAATAATATCTTCTGATTTATTTCGTTGTGGGATCCAAGACAGTCATTCATGTCCCTGGGACGCGCCGGACTTCAGTGTTCCGGTGTTTTCATGGTTGTATCTACTGTAGATCCTGGTGCACAAGAGTTGGAGCGGTATCGAGAGGTTGCTGCGGGCTTGTCCCATAAAAAAACCGTCTCGTCCCGCTTAGGTCGGTATTTGATTATTTTCACCTATCACAAAAAGAAACTCAGTACTATATGGTTTCTGACAGAGACAAAAAAGGAATTCTAATCATACATACACAAGCATTATGTTTAAATGTCAATTTCCCACATAGGTACATGCAGTTGTCGTGTGCGATTTCTTAATTGATAATTAATCAATTTGAAAGGAATTCCATTACTTCATAACACTCTCATAAATAGTTCCCCATACCATAAAAATATTAATAACTACGCTTGTTAGGATACCATGTTGATTTTATTAAATAACATAGTTACGTTTGAAATAATAGAAGCTATTTCATTGTCATTATAATCATCATCAGCCCATAAGTGCCCACTGTTGAGCAAAGACCTCTACGCACACGGAGAAGGTTTGAGCATTAACCACCACGCTTGCTCAAGGCGTATTGGCGATTTCAAACTTACACAATTTGTGAATGCAAACACAATTTACACCTGCGCAAACCACAATAAATACCTTCGCTCTTGTAATAATCGACTCCTCAACTGTCCAACTCATCACTCAAAATTTCTCCATTCCTCATTTTTCGTTCAGGCTATTCTTCTGTGGAATGCGCTACCCCCCGATATCGGGATCTTGACTAGTCGGCTGTCTTTCAAGCAGAGAGTTCGGGAGCTTCTTTTGAAGAGGTTGGGGAATCATCGTGACTATGACTGCATATACGTATATGTATGTATATATGTATTACATATATAGTATGTATGTATGTAAAGTGTGTTATGTATATTTTTATATATATGTTTGGTATATTCAATTGAATTTCCTTGCTTCTGCACCTGCCACTAGATTATCTCTGCATCACCCAAAGGTAGACTGGTAGAGAATGCTCATTGCATTAAGTCCGCCTATGTACAATGTTTTGTGCATGAAGTCTTAAATAAATAAATAAATAAAAATTTGTGGATCACGCAAAGAGTTGTTTTGTGTGGGTATCAACACAACCAGTTCAACCATATAAAATGAAAGAATTGATTATTTTTCACGTACATTACTTTTTTTACACATCAACCTATTAATTCAACTAGATGAGGCTACCATTCCCTTAGTGAAGAAACTCCTTTGAAAAAACATGCCAATCATCAAAACTCAATTGAAATTGTAAGAAGAGTACAGAAACTACATATAATCATCCTTCTCTCTCACATCATTAGCTAAGACACGAACTACATACAAGTAATCAATGATAATTAGTAAAATGGTGTAGACAGGTTACCTAAACAAAATTCGATTTTCAAAAACGACACACTGATACACACATGAACAATTCGTATGTTTAAACGTCAAAGTGAGATGGCATGATTCAATAATCGCGAGTGAAAAAGAGACAAATATGAAAAAGTGTGGCTAGTTAGCCACATTTTAATGTATCACTTGCTGAGCGCTTGTAACCTATCTAATCCTTTTTACTTATAATATCATTGCAAATAACAGTAAAATCCGTCTGTACAATATATTTTTTGTAGTTTTTTTTCGGTTCTGTTAATAGTTTCATTTAATAATTGTTCCCCGCTAGATGGCAGCTCTCTAGCGTTAGGTCCAAACACCTGCCGAAACACTTATGCGATTTATATTTTTCGGTGTCATTTTTCTCGTTTATTTATTATTAAAAATGTTACAACATTTGCGCCTATGTTTACAAATAAACTCAAATAGGCACTCTTTTTGAGCTCAATATTTAGTTCGAAAACCTTTCTTTGGTCGTAATCCATAATAAAATCAATAATACTTCCAAATACGTAAAATATCACTAACAAATACATACGTTTGATAAGAATCTGAGCTATGTAACAGATGTTTAGACCTAACGCGTACGAAGCGCCGCCTGGCGGAAGAAAAAATATCAAAAATCCTCATTGTCGCAATGGTCTTTTAATAATAAGTGTTTTGTATTGTTCCTCGATGGATCGGTAGTATCTCATAGTATCATGTAGAAAAGAAAAATAAAAAATTACAGTAATTTTGAGTGATATGCACGTCCCTACAGAAGACCAGTGTGAAAACAATCACAGCGTTGTGTTTCGCCGTGTGAGTGAGGTTACTGGAGACCCTATATTTATTATCTTAGAAAAATAATCTACAATCAAACATACCCTTTAATATTAGGTACAACAATTGCCCGAACAATAAATTACTTAATAAAATAAATGATTTACGAAACAATCTTGTGGAAACCGCTTACATTATAATGCAACATAAATTAAACACTGTTTACCACACATCAGAAATTGCGCGTTTCTGCTACTTTATATGATGTTAAGAATTGCCTATTTAAACTTTAATTTGCAGTTAATCATAATAACTTAAGCTCTTAAGGTCTGCGGACGGTGACCAAGAGGAGCTCGCTGCACGAAAAGAGCCAAACCCGAGCGATCGTCTCGTGGCGTTCCGCGCGCTTTAAATAGCCATCAATCCTTCTTCCCCTCATCCAATCCCCAAATCTCCGAAAACCTAATCACCAAAGGTCTGGCAACGCAGTTGTAACCTCTCTGATGTTGTAACCGGATCAAGTTATCCGTCTGCGCCCGGAGGCCGTCCTATCTCATAGAAAAAGACCACTGCTAATGGAGTCTATTAAGGGAGATGTCCAGCCGTGCTTCTGCTTCAAGTAGGAGAAGTAAAGAGGTGGTTTTTACTCAGTTGAAGAAGTCTTGTGATGATTTTCGAACTTCAAAAGATAGTATGGGCTCCGATATTGTTGGAAAGGCAGGACCAAAAGAAGGTAATTTCTTTCTTTTAATAATGAGATAGCGGATTGTGTGATGGTAAGCAATTGGCGCTTCCCATGGACACCCACAACGCCAAAGAAGTCACGAGTGCGTTTCCGGCCTTTTGGGGATTAGGGTTTTGGATATTTAGAGATTGGGGAGGGATTGGGTCGAGAGAAGGATTGCGCCTCCAGTAAATTTACTCCAATGGCGAAACACAACGCTTTGGTTGTTTCACGCCGGTTTTCTGTGAGGCCGTGGTATCACTCTATCGAGCCGACCAATTTATGCCGAAGATTATCTCTCCCACATTTCAATCGTGTTTTTTTAATGAAATTCGATCTCTGCTATCCTTCCTCGAGGAATATAAAACATATTATTACATAATTGCGACTATATAAAATATACTGTGTTCTATTGTTTCTGGTCTATCTTTGTTTCAAATTTTGCTGAATGATTACTGCCACGATACATACAAAATTTATTGAAAAAAAAAACGACTTATTCGCTTGAATTAACTGAGGACGGTTCGTAACGTCACGAGCGCTCACGAATAAGAGTCCCGTTGTGACTCGAAACTAGTAGAGTTTTTCTCGATTTAATCACGCGAGTTAGTCGTTGTTTTCAATATTACAGAATCTGTTGTTTTGTTCACATTATTAACTTGTATTGCATCTTATTAAACAATGGTTTTTGTGTATATTGATTTATTTTGTCAAAATCAAAGTCAAAAAATAATTTACATGTTTATTCAGGTAGCAGTTCGAATTTTCTCGACTTGTTTCAAGCCATATCGAGGGCTTTTAATAAAATATAAAAAAAATTGGCTGACAAAAAAATAACTGAAATACAATATTTTAGATTTTTTTTAAATAAACAATTCAAAATAAATCAATGTATATACTTACCACAAAATCCAGCGTTTGTCTCATTAAAAAAAACTAATCATTTTTTATTTGTTGTAAAAAACATTTTTAGTCGAATCTCCCACTCGATCTGTATAAATGAATTAATAAAAAAAAGAGAAATTGTGTAAATAATTTTATTATTAACGTTAATAATAATAAAAAAACAATAAATTTAAGAAAAAATCTTAATTATTAACAAATTTACTATTAAGCTATTTATTGTGCAATGTAGCAGTATTAGTCATTTTTTCCCGTTATTTTTAAATCGACAACATTTTGGTGTTTGGGCAAAAAACATTTTTTTTACCGGGCATAAGTATTTTTTTCTGTTGATGGGCAAAATGTGTTTTTTTGTGGTTTCAATTTTTTCTTATTTTTTACTCGTCATTCCGAAGTGTTGTCAATTTAAAAAATTGTGAAAAAAGTAGCGATTTATAGACAAATCTTATTAAAAGAAATTAAATGATAACTTTGTTTTATTTTTAATGGCAACCTTATCGTTTGGCGTTTTCAAGGTAAGTTCATCTTTGAATCTTCTAGAGTCTTTAATACTTTTTTATGTAATAGGTCGACAAACGAGCAGACGGATTACCTGATGGTAAGCAATCAGCGTCGCCCATGGACATAGACACCAGCAACGAAGGAGTTACGAGTGTGTTGCCGACCTTTTAGGGATTAGGTTTTTGGAGATTTAGGGATTGGGAGGGATCGAGGGAGGGAAAGGATTGAGCCTCCGGTAACCTCACTCACTTAGGCCTCCAGTCGAGCCGAAACACTTATGTATGGCTAGCACATAAATTTAATGTTAATTAAGCATTACAACTAATGATAATAGGCATGTGATAGGTAAGCAAAAGAGGCGAGAGGATTACCTGATGGTAAGCAATCAGCAACGCCCATGGATACCCGCAACAACAGAGTAGTTAAGAGTACCGTTACAATTTGGAGATTAGGGTTTTGCACATTTGGGGATTAGGGGATTGGGCCTCCTTTAACCTCACTCATTCGGCGAATTACAACGCTGTGGTTGTTTCACGCGCCGGTAGACTTATTCATGTCGAAGCATAGATATGGCTCTCCCACAATTTATTAGTAAAATATTATTATCTATACTAATATTATAAAGAGGTAACATTTGTAAGTTTGTATGTAGGGGGTAAGTTCACTGATAGATAGCTACAATGTTCCTGAGTGCTATAGGCTATAAAACATAACGCTACGATCAAATGTAGCCGAGCAGCGGGTGAAATCGCGCGAGAGTAACTATATAGTCTATATTATATTCTTATTCAAAAAGACCAACACTATTACCTTAAAAAAACAATTTACACTTAGCATCAAAGGTTTCACTTAAAAATGTAATAAAAAAAAACAAACAGAAATTAACGCTTAACGCCCGGGAATCGATCCCGAATTCTTGATTCGCAATGCCGCAAGTATTTCAATAAAATGAACCCCATACTCGGAGGTCGGCTGTCGTTGGAAGAGATCAAATTAAAAAGGGGAGTTTTGTTAAATATTTGTATCACTCCATTCGTTTAGAAATGTTTTAGAAAATGTTTAGACTTATTCTAGTGTTTTTAAACATTTTTTTCATGTCGACAAAACGAACAGATGGATTACCTGATGGTAAGCAATCAGCGCCGCCCATGGACACCCGCAACAAGAGGTGTTACGAGTGCGTTGCCGACCTTTTTTGGGGGTAGGGATTTGAGAGATTTAGAGATTGGGGAGGGGAAGGGTTGGGCCTCCGGATAGGCCAGCGGTAATCTCACTCACACGGCGAAACACAACGCTGTGGTTGTTTTACGCTGGTTTTCTGATGGCTGTGGTGTCACTCCGGTCGAGCCCCGACCCATTTATACCGAAGCATGGCTCTCCCACACTTACATAATATAATATATAAGATTTTTGAGCTAGCTGACCTGCATGTTGATTCTATTAAATTCGTTTGATTTTGAATCTTGCTCGAGTGTGAAGTGAGCGTCGTAGTGACGGAGAAATTAAGTACATTATAGAATGCCACTTTTAACGTCATCTCATACTTTATCTATCAAAATGTTGCGGTCAATTAAGTTCAGCGCTATTGTAGCGCTAGTGTACTACTACTCACAGCGGATTCAGATTCGAAGTTTAGAATGAAGTCTTACAGAATCACAGTGTTGGTGAACTCTTTATAATTATAGTTTAATAATCTCAGTTTTGATATTTACAAAGTATCGAATTTTACTTACAAATCAGTTTGTATTCGAAAGGAAATTAAAATGTTTAGTAATATATTTTTGTGTTTTTTTTATAATGCTAACTATACCTGTTTAAGTCTATCACTAAATTAGATCAATTAGGTAAATCCAAAACCGTCTAATTTATAAGAGCCCATTGCTGGGCAAAGGCCTCTTCTAACACGGAGAAGGTTTGAGCACAACCCACCAAGCTTGCTCAAAACGGATTTACGATTTCAAACTTATGATTAGAAATTATAAGTCCAAGTTTCCTCACGATGTTTTCCTTCACCGTATGTCAGTGGTGTCTAACTATAAATAAAATTAGAAAGTAGTCACATTGTAAAGTACCATTGCTGACTTTTTATAAGCTAGGATTCGGTTTCACACCCTCTTGCATAAGAAGCGAGCACTTTAACCTCCCAGCACCGATTTCTAACTCAACTAACTCAGTAGCCACATAAAAATCCCAAACGAATTCCATAAAAACTTCAACGTACAGATCGACATATTATTACTAGCCATCCAACTAAAGGAGAATGTATTTGTAATGGGGCGTTTTACATCATATATTGACAGGATCTTTCTTCTTAACTGTTTTGTGTAACTTATGAGTGAGAGGGTTATTTTTATCTGAGTGCTTTTATTTATAAATATGTTTGAGAAGCTGATACGTTGATTTTCAGGACAACACGAGATATGGGTATCAACACTAACGTAAAATGCAACTTTAACTCGACCTATTCATCCGAGTGTATGGCGCTTCAAAGAGACCACCACAAACGGGGCCTATAGGGCTGATGTTCAGCCGAGGTTGCGGGGTAAGCGCAATGAGGCACCGCGACCTCGGCTCAGAGCAGGAGAAGGAACGGGGGGGTTTTTAGTCAGTAAGAGACTGACACTCCCTCCGGCCCCACCTAAGGCGAGAGGAGGAATTTGATGATATTCTACCCTCAAAAAAAAAAAGGATTCCTTACGATGTTTTTGCCTTAACCCTTTGTCAGTGGTGTCTAAATATGCTTAGAAAGGACATATATATACATACCTCGGAAAAAGTAACATTGGTACGAGCCAGGTTGCGAATTAGCAACCTTATTAATAAGGGTGCCTTAACCTCCGGGCCACCACGACATTAGGTATCTACACTTTAAACTAAAAAAGTAATCTTCTACGATCGTCTATCTCTATCGAATCGATTTGACAACAACAGTTGTCGCAAGTTGTTTACAGTTGTCGTTACAAAAAAAAATAGTTAATTTGACAACACGCTGAGACATGCCTCTAGTTTATGTGGAGTTTACATGGCGACGTATAAATAAATGTATGATTCTGTGTTTTGTACCTCTCACGTTAAACGCCATGGGGGTCACCGGTGACCTCCGTTAGCGGAGGATTTGCTTTCAACAGTTTTCTGTCGGCAGTTAAAGGCTTAAAAATGATTCTTAGTCTAGAACTGTATTTTAGAATAAGTTAAGATCCTGATCCTCAACCTGTAAAAGTTCTTCAAGTTTTAAAAGACCCAGAATGCATCTGTAGCTCTTCGAGTTGTCAGAGGGTTCGCCGGTCAATAAGGTACCGAGGTCTCGGCCTGGCGAAGAACAGGGGACGAAGTTGTTTTCCGCCAGTAAGAGTCTGATATTCACCGCCTTACGCGAGACAAGCCATTAGATTATTTTCATCTCTCCAAAAAAAAACTATCATTCGCATAATGATAATGAGAATGATATGAGTTGTGCGAATGATTGTAGGTGAAGCCATTTTCTTACCATGAGGCTAGCTGTCTAATTACAGAAGTAATATGGTATCTGGCTTTTTTTGGTTTGCCTAAGTGATGCCTACTGGTGTTTCATCTATACTAGTCAATACCTACTAATGTTATAAAGAGGTAAGTTTGTAAATATGTATGTTGGTATGTATGTAGGAAGTAATCTTTGAAACCGCTGGTCGGATTGCCAAAATTCTTCACTGATAGGTAGCTACAATGTTCCTGAGTGCTATAGGCTATAAAATATCACGCTACGATGAAATGGAGCTGAGCAGCGGGTGAGCTAGTCAGGATATAATATGCAAAATAAAAAGCTGGAGTTGTTTCACACATTTTCAAGACGATACGAGTCGATAATTTTGTGATAGGATAAGTAGTATATTATCAATTAGAAATTGATACTAAATATTGTCAATAATTTTAGCTAGTTCACTATATTTAAAAAATCTATGCCATGTCCTTTTATCAAAAAAAATTATGTAAAAATGTTTACAATTATTTAGCTATTTACCTAAATCGATGTTAGCTAATAAACTGAATTTAAATAATCTTTGTATTTTATTTATACGAGCTCTTTAATATAAAAAGACATACCAACATTGTTTACCTTGATTAAGCCACCTAAACTGATAGATTTTTTTTCTGAATTTTAAATATCGAATCTTGGTGTGATGTAAACTGGCCTTAAATCTAGGGGTGTCGAAATTCTTAACGTCGAAAGCAATCGAGTGGGGTTGTGACACCCCTACCCAATGAATTTGATTACAACTCGCGACTTTATTTTTTAACATCAGCCTGTACGTTATAAGGGGTGTGAATTGTCTTATTGGTATTTTTAACGGTTTATAAGGTTCAGGCTGACTTCGTTTAAGTATTTTGTGTCTTATTTCCTATTCGGTTAGGTTTAGTTTACTTTAGAGATTCGAATTTGTTACTTTTCTTTGGTATTTTAAGAGGAAGTTAGTTTAGATAAGGTGGATGATTGTTTTTTTTTAATTCGTCAAAATAATCTCAAAGTTTTATTCGAAGTCAAAATCATTTATCCAAACTAATAGTATTAATGTCAAAGTTACTCTGTCTGTTTGTCTGTCTTTTCTTCACGCCTAAACTACTGACCCTATTTGTGTGAAATTTAGTTTTTAAACTAAAAATCTACAGGAAGTGACTATTCCACGCGAACAAAGTCGCGGACAAAAGCTACTCGTAGTTCCAACTTAATCATAAATAGGTACGGTTGAAACGTCAAAATAGAATAAGTCCGTCAGTCTGTTCGTGCTTGTCTGAAGCTGGGTGCTTGTTCCAAACTGTACATTCAAATGGAGAAGAACGTGCAAGTAACTCCATCATTGCTCTTTTTACAAGCTCACCAGTACATTTTTGGGAGGCGAAAATCATGAACTCTCCCTCTTCTCTCCGAAGGAAGAGAGGTTTAGTCAGTAAGAGTCTGGCACTCCCTCCCGCCTCACCCTGGGCGGGAGAAGGCATTTGAAATGATTTTCCCTTCACAAAAAACAACTTAGGTACCTAATATTCGTAAATTGTCTAGCTAATTATTGAATAATCATTATCGTGTGACATAGGTTAATACTAAATTGATTGAGAACGACGACTTTCTCAGTGAATGCACGTTATTGAGTGGCTAACTTCGATGAAGTACGTTTTATTTTTATGTAATAGGTCGGCAAACGAGCAGACGGATTACCTGAAGGTAAGCAATCAACGGCGCCCATGGACACCCGCAACACTAAAGGAGTAACGAGTGCGTTGCCGACCTTTTGAGGGTTGGGGTTGCGGATATAAGGATCGGGAAGGGATAGGGGAAGGGGCGTTATTGGGCCTCCGGTAACCTCACTCACACGGCGAAACACAACGCTGTGGATGTTGTATCACTCCGGTCGAGCCGACCCATTCGTGCTGAAGCTTGGCTCTCCCACACTTATGCTATCAAAATGGATCTTACTCCACACATTTTTATTAAAAGATATACACTGTATCAACTACTGGTTGATCTAATAAAATAAAATAATTAAAAAATTACGTGTTGTTCGTGAATTTGTTGACCGTAATCTGAATCACGGGGTCTTTTTCCGATGCCAAAGTATGTAACTTATTTTTTTTTCAGACAGTGTGTGTGAGTGTCAGACTTTTACTGACTAAAAACCCCCCTGTTCCTTCTCCTGCTCTGAGCCGAGGTCGCGGTGCCTCATTGCGCTTACCCCGCCACCCCGGCTGAACATGAGCCCTTTAGGGCCCCGTCTGTGGTGGTCTATTGGCTCTTTGAGGCGCGCGCGGAACGCTACGCGCCGTACGCTCAGAAACCTAGGTAACTTAACTTACTGTTTGGACTTTCGCAAACTTCAACACCGAAGTCTCAGTAGTTTTGGTAAAAATCCTTTGTGTATATAATTATAATAATTATACATATAAGTAAGGAGTGACCTCACTGCCATTATGCCGACTTTATACTATAAGGTAAGGACTGAGCTATTTTCGAAAAGCCTAAAAAACACCAAGTTATGTTTATTTAAACATCTCTGTCGACCCCTTTTTACTAGTCAAGCTAATATTAGGTAGGTACTAAGTAACAAAAGTCATCGGTACTCTGAAATAATAATAATATACGAAATTTCGAATTCTTTCTCAAAGTTCTCTCTCTGCTCTACCTCTCAATCCTAAAAAGATTGAACATAATCATTAATTATCTATTAATCAGTGCTAAAATCTAAGAAAGCGTGTCTATGGTTCATTTTGTATAAAAAACACACAGTCGAACAAACAGGTGTCAAAAATTAATCGGACGGGTTCAATGACCTTTTGACGTTGAATAAAAATTACCGACCACCCACGACGAGCGGACTAAACCACTTCGCGATAACCTCTATCCCCATCTCTTTCCACCAATTAACATTCCTACGTAAGATAAAAAGAGATAGCACTACTGCGCCGGTTTCGACCAACATTTGAATATGGTTCGAAAAACGTCTATCGTAACTTGAGCTGTCATTTAGAACGTTTATTGTACAGAATGAGGCCTATAGCTTTGGTTAATCGTTTAGTATAACTTGATCCGTGTTTTCAAACAACCAACACTGGAAGAGAGGTCTACTAGAGATAGATATAACCAGCATAACAAGACCTAAGCTTTAGAACTGTAAATACAGTACCATAGCTCATTTGCTCTGGATTCGAAGTAAAGACAGATTGTCAATGGCTTAACACCGTCGTTTAGTTTTAATCTAAGTATCTGGCAGCACATAATCCTTGTCTATGGGCCTCTAAAGGAGGATTTATATATTTCCTATGGACCATATTTTATTTGATGCTTATACTGAATTACCTGTTTGACTTGTGTTTTAAATTAATAGATACAAATTGTTTTATCACGACTTTTTTGCTTGAAGGTATAGGCTGACATGATATTTGCAATATGCCATTGCTGTAATAATTACCCTCTCTCATTAGAGAGGTTATTAAAAATTATATTGGCATAAATAGGCCCAACCCAACCCCTCCCCAATCCCAAGATCTCCAAATTCCTAAACCCCACGGTCGAAAGGTCGACCCATAATTCCTCTGTTGTTACGGGTGTCTATGACAGCGCTGATTGCTTACCATCAGGTAATCCGTCTGCTCGTTTGCTGACCTGAAAAAAATAAACTTACGTCAGAGGGTCTCGTGTATAGAATGAATAGTTTTATTCTAAAGAAAGAATACGGTTTATCATTTAGGATATAATTTGTTGAGCAATGAGATTTATAATTACTAAGAGAAAAAATATGTAAAAAACATATGCAAAATACATATAAGTAGGTCTGTACTGTGATTATCCTTGAACTTTTTCCAAGGTGAAACCCTGTCTTAGTAGAATATTGTATTGAGGTCACTGGTCCATCTCTCACACACTACATTCCCACTACATGAGCAGCTGTTTACATGTGAACATTAGCCCATGACGATACCTAAGTACGTGTGTCGCCTGGACAGTCACCGCTACCATCAGTTGACTGGATATCTACACTACATGAGCTGCTGTTTACATGTGAACATTAGCTCATGACGATACCTAAGTACGTGTGTCGCCTGGACAGTCAACGCTACCGTCAGTTGACTGGACATCTACACTACATGAGCTGCTGTTTACATGTGAACATTAGCTCATGACGATACCTAAGTACGTGTGTCGCCTGGACAGTCACCTCTACCATCAGTTGACTGGACATCTACACTACATGAGCTGCTGTTTACATGTGAACATTAGCTCATAACGATACCTAAGTACGTGTGTCGCCTGGACAGTCACCGCTACCATCAGTTGACTGGACATCTACACTACATGAGCTGCTGTTTACACAAGATTGAATTTTAAACTCGGCTAATTTTCGCGAAGTTAATGATGGCGGTTTTAAGTATTATATTATAGCAAAAAGTTATTTTAAAAAGTTCAGTTAATTCGCTAAGACGTATTTAAAATGATTAAAAGTGAATATTGTAAATTGATATATAACCCCATGGCCCACCCAGGTCGTTGGTTGTTTGTTTTTATTTTGCCTGCGCGAGCGCCGGTCTCGGTGATAGATCGGCGCCCGCGACGCTGATTGGTTAGCTGGTTAGGGTTGACGCGTTGATATTTGAAACATTTTCGTTAGTCTTGCGTTTTTATAGAGCTGTTACAAGTTCTTTGAGTATTAAACTTGAGCTATATTTTATCGTACCTACGTAATATACTAGGGCTGGATTTTGAAACATATATTACATATATAATTATTATTATATAATCTAAGTTAATTTGTTTTAAATATAATCGTTTAGTATATACGGATAATATACCTACTTTTATTTACTAATACAAAATATTTTTTTTAGATACTTAATAATTATTGAAATTTCAGGACACACATAGAGGAAATAATAAAGAGGAATAATAATAGAAGCGAATCGTCAGAAAATTAAAAACCCTGAAATTCAGTCAGCCATCTAAACTTAAAATCATAATCAAAGAAAGATCAAGATTAAGTTTATCAATTAACAAATAAAATTTAAATAATAAATATGTAAAACACCAAATAACTATCATGCGACATCCCTGCCGACAGGTCTGCGCTCGCGCACCGCATTTATAAAAATTCCTCGCATTGATACTACACGTCTAAATAAATAAATTATTATTTATATATTTTCCCACATTCATTTTGCAAATGTTTTCATTTCATTTTGTTTGTACATGAACTAATTGCGTTATGTTTAGCCGTGTGAGTGAGGTTAGGTCCAATCCCTCCCCTTCCCCTATTCGTTCCTGATCCTTATATCCGCAACCTCTATCCCCAAAAGGCCGGCAACGCACTCGTAACTCCTTTAGTGTTGCGGGTGTCCATGGGCGGCGTCGATTGCTTACCATCAGACAATCCGTCTGCTCGTTTGCCGACTTATCTCATTTAGCCCTCATCATCATCATCACCATAACAGCTCAAATCACCATAACAGGTCCAATGATGGACTATGGGCTCTACATTGTAATAATAATTATTATTATTGCTCTAATTTTCTTTTGTTTTTAAATATGTTGCCCCACACTAGGATTTTCTCCTGTGTCGTAGGTGCGTTTACAAACATACAATTTCACATACACATCACACCCAGACCCGAAACAATAATTTGTGGAGCACACAAAGAGTTGTTCCGAATTATCAGAAATATATTTCTAGTTGTTATGTCCGACTGCTGGTCAAAAGGGCGTCCCCATCTCGCTTTTACACCTCCCGATCTTTCAACCGTGTCCACCAGTCTCGACGATACGCGCCTAGTCTAGATCGCCACGCCATCTTTTTCGGGTAAGTAACTATCTGTTTTTTTTTGAGGAGGGATAATCGTCAAATTACTTCTTCCTCCCAGGGTGAGGCGAGAGGGAGTGTCAGATTCTTTTAATGACTAAAAACCTCCCCGTTCCTTCTCCTGCTCCAGGCCGAGGTATCTTATGGCGTTCTTGCCCCTTAACTCCGTCGACTATCTGTAACTCATCATCATCTTCCTGCCCTTGTCCCGTTTTATTTGGGGTCAGCGCAATATGTTTTTTTCTTCCATTCTGTCCTGTCACCCGTCACGCTATCACTAACTCCTCTGTCTTTCATATCTCTTCTTACACAATCCATCCATATTTTCTTTGGTCTCCCTCTCCCTCTCCATCCATCCACATTTATACTCATGGCTTTTTTTGTAACATTTCATCAGTTTCATCTCAAACGGTTCCCTTTCAACTTTTCAGTCACTGGCGCCAATTTCAAACTTCCTCTAATATACTTGTAGATTATACCCTTCAACCTGACATCCGTGGGTCGCAAGTTGTTCCAGTGACCTGTCGCCATTTCATCCATCCTGAGTTGATCGGATGTGCCACGTCTCGGTCTATCTCACCATTCCCTTGGATAAGCGAGCCAAGGTACCGAAAACCAGAACAGATCAATTATCTGTACCTAAGTTACTCCAATTTTATTCAGGACTTCGTGATCCCCACTCATATTTACAGCCACAAACATAACGAGGGATAATCACCGATTGTTCTTCTAAGTTTATTTTATAATGAAGTTCAATTGAATGTATGTTGAACTATGCCGTATCTGTTCTAAGATATTGACCAGCGATTTTGTTAAATCTGGTGATGTACTGCAAGCTATTTTTATGGTATACTATTTTCGCGCGGGGTGCCAGTGGCCCTTACCGGTGCCGGCACTGGCAACCCTGGGCGAAACATAGTATACCATAAAAATAGCTTGCAGTACATCACCAGATTTAACAAAATCGCTGGTCAATATCTTAGAACAGATACGGCATAGTTCAACATACGGTTGTGGCGCCCACTTCACGGAAGCAATATCAAGTGTTAGTTTTTTGCTGATCGTATTGATATCGTTAGAGTCACTCCTCGACCACAAACCCTTAAAAAAATATGCCTAATGCACAGAGCGTAGAGCACAGTTCTGAGGGTTTGCACCAGGAGAGGCGAGAACATCAGGCATTGGCACCCCCCCCCCCTAACGTCGGCACTGAGGGAAGGGATTGGGCCTCCGGTAACTTCACGCACACGGCGAAACACAACGTTGTGGTTATTTCACGCCGGTTTTCTTTGAGGCCGCGGTATCACATCTTTCGACTCGACCCATTCGAGCCGAAGCTTGGCTCCCATACTACATTGCTCTTTAAATTTCAATTTACCGATTTTGTTAAATTTTAATATTATTTTTTAGGGCATCGTGGTTTCTATAGACGCAGGTATCGAGGTACAACAAGGTGTATTACTGAATAAGATCCCTCGCATAGCTCCCACTACGCACAATCCCAAAGATCCTATCTCGATTTCAGATCAATTAGATCGATACTGTCAACTTTGACAACTCCCATATTTGACAGTTATGACAGATTTGACATTTCTGACAGCCTTGACATGTGTCGTGACAGGTGCGTGCGCGCATGTAAGCAATTAATGTAACATGTTCAGTGTTATACGACTCTATATTAGATGGTAAGCAACTTGTAGGCGAGGTTTGGAATTTGATGGGTGGGACATTTTTGTATTAAATATGTTATTTATTTAAGTGAAATGGTTTGGATCTGTGGTTGATATTGTGACTCCTTATAAGAAAGTGGATTTGATTACTAAGTAGTTTTTTCTTTTCGTTAGCAACATTTGACGGCACGGTTGCCAGGTACCCGGATGCTGTACAACGTATCGCGGTTTCGATTCCCGCGCGAAACTACTCTTTGTGAGATCCAAAAATTGTGTACCTAATGTGTATGTTTGCAAAGACAACACACAGAAACATTTTAAATTAGGGCGATGATTTTTTTAAATTAATCATGTCGTGTCTTCTTTAAGTAGATACTGCTGCTGATATATTCTGGACACTTTTCAAATTTTTAAAAGATTTTTATCTTAGTATTCAGGGAACATCCAAATAAGTTTTCCTTATTACAAAAAACAAAACCTACCTAAAGATCTACTTACGTACTTACCAAAAGTGAACCTACACCCTCCAACTCCACAGCCTAACTAACAACCATTGAACCGATGAGTCACTACTCTTAAACTGTGAATAAATAAATATTAAAAAAAAAACGAAAAAAAAGAAACAAATGAACCGCTCTTTAATAGCAGCACGTGCCAGTATTGGGAACGGACCCAAATCCGTCCACTACCGTTCCTAGGAACGCCCCTAATTACGGTTTTTAAACACAGATTTATTTGTTAAAGGATTTGATTGTTAATTTTTATTACGGATCAGTGTAATAGTAAAAATTTTGGTTTAGGTATTAAGAAAGTACTTATAATTGATTTGTTTCGTTTCTTTGTGAAATATTAATTTGGTTTGAAAATCTAAAAAATATTTTAGAATAGCATAAGTTGCTTGCTATTTTAAAAAAAGTATTTTAAAATAGCAAGTACGTACCTACCTAATTGTTATTTTAAAATATTTTTTTCTATTTGCAATTAGCTTACTGGCAACATAAAAAAAAACTTGTAAGATTTTATTTCGACTTTTTTAATGATTTTTTAGTATCGATATCGATATATTATCGAAATAATCGATACGTCTTTACATAGTATTTCTATCCTGTAAGACCTAATAATTAAATAATAAATTACATTTAAAAATATTACTATGATAATACAACACAAAATGAAATAATATTTATTGCAATAATTTGCAAAATACATCCCAATAACTAAACTAAGTACGTAAATAATCAATACTTATCTGTAATAATTAACCAGATTATACCATAGTCAAAACAATAAAAAACAAACGATATTGCCAAAGTACATAATTATATGACTTAGACTGATTGAAAATGTTATTCTATTTAGACTAGAACTAAAAGAAATATTGACAAAAATTACTAAGTAAAATTAAAACACTCAAAATTAATTTAATTTATATCAACTAATTGGTTATATAAAATCATAAGTATTATTCTCAAATAATTGAACGAATGTCGAAGAAAACGTAATTTTATTGGTAACCTAATTAAAAAAGAATAACCATGGAGTTTCTTGCTCGTTCTTTTCCATAGGAATCTACACTTTGGAACGAGCAAATAGTTTTACTTGAGGACAGACTGACAGGATGACATTACAAAAAATAAATAACTTTAAAGTATTCATTTTGACGTTCAAAAGCGTTTTTTAATATTGGATTAAATGCCATAAATAATTTGACATAAACATTGCAAAAAAAATACAAATAAATTTCTTATTTTTCAAATAAAGAATACATAGACACACACAAAGATAATCGAAACAATAAAATCTAGAAATGACACATCTAAAAGTCATGACTCTACGCGCTGAACGAACAAAATAAACTTCATACAAATCCACTTTGATATTTCCACAAGAACATGTTTAGGCGCCGTCTAATAATACACGAATAATAAGCTGGAAACAATAAAAAATCCTTTTCGAAAACACTTTCAGAATCATTCAATATTCAAAGGAAATCTTCAAAAAGATTGTAAACTACGCTCAAAACCAATTAAGTACTTCGGCTTCGTATAGAACAAATTTAGCGAATCTAGTGCTATACACACTTTAATCTTTGACAGCCGAACTTCGCGGGGAAGAGGGACGGCGATACGATTGTAGTGTGTGCGTGAAAGAGACGGGGCACTTCGGTTAGACCACCCAAGTCGCCGGTTGGCATTCGACTAACTATTTCACTCCGCCATTATAGTTTTGATACTTGATGATTATATTTTTTTTTGTTATTTTTATTTTAATGAGCAAATTTTTTTGATTGGCAATCTAATGCAATTGGATGTTTTGGCGGGTCCAGATTAAGAATGGTTTTTAGTAATTAGAATTATGTTTTGTGTAATTTTGTCGGATTGAGATGTTATTGATGTTTTTGGGTTTGTTATAATAATCAAACATATAGGTAGGTATGTTTATATGATTCCGATTGGAAAATAATTACTTCATTAGTTTTGTTGTTTTAAATAAGATTGCTCGATTAATTGATTTGAAGAAGTATTGTTATTAAAATATTTCAAACAGGCTTAACAATGAATGGGTAAGTCTAGTAAGAGTGATAGCTAATATATTAAATTTTAACATATTTTTATGAACAAGAGAAAATGACAAAAATATATTTAAAAGAATATCAAGATAATCCTTCAGATAGGCTAACGTGCCATTGTTGCGAGTGTAAGCGCAATAATATGTATACCGCAGCCTTGACCTGGAGCAGGAGAAGGAACAGTCAGTGAGTCTTTTTTGTGAGCGAAAAATCATGGTGAGAGTGTCAAACTCTTAATGACTAAATCTCCCCCCTTTCATCTCCTACCCCGCGACACCGGCTGAATACTTATCAGCCCTATAGGATAGGGCCCCGTCTGTGGTGGTGCTCTTAGAGGCTCGCGCGGAATGCTACGCGCCGTGTGCTCGGGTCTGGTTCTGGGAGAAAAGTCATAAGGACAATTTCCCACTCAGAAATAAAAAAATAAAAAATAAAAATCGCCCGTTAATTACCGTCCGAAAAGAGGTAGTGGAGTGCGATCTTAAAGTATCTTGTAGTGTCAGTCGCACTATCCCTTCAGTAATAGTGGAGAGCTTTGCACCAATACATTTTTTGATCTCAACCAATGATTGTACTTGTACAGAACGATTTAGTGGAAATACACGAGATGGCGCTTCGGGCGGGGCCGGTGATACTAACGATGTGGACGGCCAACGAGCAGACGGATTACCTGATGGTAAGCAATCAGCGCCGCCCATGGACACTCGCAACAATGGAGGAGTTACGAGTGCGTTGACGTACTTCTGGTGAGTTAGGGATTGGGAGGGGGTTGATTGGGGATTCGGTAACCTCACTCACACGGCGAAACATAGGAAATGCTGTGGTTGTTTCATGCTGATTTGCTATGAGGCCGTGGTATCACTCCGGTCGAGCCGACCCATTCGTGCCTAAGCATGGCTTTCCCATAGGTACCTAAGGAAACGTAATCTGGACTTAAAAACTAGCTTTTACCTCTTTATAATCTATAATAATACTATAAAGTGATAAAATTTGTAAGATTGTATGTAGGGGGGTAATCTTTGGAACCGCTGCTCAGATTTCCAAAATTCTTTCACTGATAAATAGCTACAATGTTCCTGAGTGCTATAGGCTATAAAACATCACGCTACGCTCAAACGGAGCCCAACAGCGGGTAAAACCACGTGAGAGTAGCTAGTATTAGTATAGATGACGATATTATAACGGTGCCAAACAAAATGGGTTCCCGTAAATTTCCAACTGAACGAATGTTTGGTTAGCGCCTCATCTTGACTTTTAATTCGAATCGTATTGATATCTCGAGTGATGGCCGGCTATCCGCACCTAATGGCTAACATCCGCTTACATTCACAAGTTCCCGGCTATTAAGTAGCCTAAATTTAAACAAAAAGACACTTCACACCACACTACAAGTGTGGGAGAGCCAAGCTTCGGCGCCAATGGGTCAACTCGACCGGAGTTATACCATGGCCTCACAGAAAACTGGCGTGAAACAACCACAGCGTTGTGTTTCGCCGTGTGAGTGAGGTTACTTGAGGCCCCATCCCTCCCCATCCTCATCCCTTCTCAAAGCTTAAATATCCTAAATCCCTAAAAGGCCGGCAACGCAATCTACAACAGCTCCTTTAAATGTCTATGGGCAACGCTGATTGCTTACCATCAGGTAATCCGCTAGCTCGTTTGAAACTGTATATCTTTAAAGACAAATCATCAAATCACTTCTCTCGCCCAAGGAATGGTGAAAGGGAGTGTGAGATCTCTCACTTTTTATGGTATAAGTCGGCAAACGAGCAGACTAGTTACCTGATGGTAAGCAATCAGCGCCGTCCATGGGCACTCCTAATCCTAAAGGAGTTACTACAAGTGTATTGTCTGCCTATTGTAGGTTATAAGGGATTTGAAGATTGAGGATGAGAATGGGGGAGAAAGAATTGGGCATCCGGTAACCTCACTCACACGGCGAAACACAACGTATATAAGATTTTGATTTTATTTTCTGTGAGGCCGTGGTATCACTCCGGTCGAGCTGACCCATTCGTGCCGAACCATGGCTCTCCCACACTTAGTAGGTGTATTCAGAATTCAGTGTCCTGGTGACGTTGAAGAGTGTGACACCTCCTGCATCAGTTCCAAGGTCGTCCGTCAGTCAGTCAGTCATTTTTTTTTACACAAGCCCTTCCTTTCTTGCAACTCCTGTAAGCCAGGATCTACAGTAGATACAACCACGAAATCACCGAAACACTGAAGTCCGGCGCGTTCCAGGGACATGAATGACTGTCTTGGATCCCGCAACGAAATAAATCAGAAGATATTATTTGAAGAAAAGAAAAAACTCGCGATAGTTTCCACTTCCCTTGGTAAGTCAGTCAGTCAGTTGTCAGTTTTGTTATTCGAGAAAGACTATTGTAACTTTTTTAGCTTTTACTCTATGTTCATAACCTTAAAGATTGAGATTGATTTACCATATTATATTTTGTAATTTCTTTTCAATGTTGATCTTATTTAAAAGGAATTGGATTATTATAACCAGCTGTTACTTTACGGTGAAGGAAAATATCGTGAGGAAACCTAGACTTAGGTATACTTATTTCTAATTATAAGTTTGAAATCGCCAATCCGCCTTGAGAAAGCGTAGTGATTAATGCTTAAACCTTCTCCGTGTGAAAAGAGACCTTTGCTCAGAAGTTGGCACTTAGAGTCTCACTGCTGAGCTGAGCTGAATATTTTGGACAATCTTTCTTCCTTTTTCTATACCGCCTATGACTCCGGCTACACCAAAGGAGTTATGAGTGCGTTGCCGGCCTTTTAGGGATAAGGATTTCGGATAATTAAGGATTGAGAGGAAGGGATTGGGCTTCCGGTACTCTCACTCACACGGCGAAACACAACGCTTTGGTTGTTTCACGCCGGTTTTCTGTGAGGCCGTGGTATCACTCCGGTCGAGCCTGCCCATTCGTGCCGAAGCTTAGTTTTCCACAGTTGAAAAAATAAAACTAATCCCAAATAAATAATTAGATACGTTTATGTATATAGGTATAAGATATTTTTATTTACTTTTAAAAGTTACCATACCGACTACTCTTTACGATTTGACCGCTACCGACACACCTACCTAACCACTAAGTTATCAAAGAGTTTAACTTAGTAGTTAATAGTTAACTATGAGTGATGTGGTTAACTGTCTAACTGGAGGTTACTGTAATATCCGTTGTATGTCTATTTTATGGTTTTATAAACGATCAGCTAATCTCGCGCAGTTTCAAACGCTGCTCGGCTCCTACAGATCGTAGCGTGATGTTTTATAGCCTACAGTCTCCTCGATAAATGGACTATCAAACACAAAAAGAATTGTTCAAATCAAACCAGTAGTTTTGGAGATTAGCGCGTTCACAAACGCTAGAGCTTTATAATGTTTGATACACTAATATTACAAATGATAAAGTTTGTGAGAATGTATGTATGTATGTTTGTTATTCTTTCACGCAAAAACAGCTGGACTGAATTGGTTGAAATTAGGTGTGTAGACAGGGGATACTTTTCTTTTGTGAAAGGAATCATCAAATTTTTTCTCCAGCCGAAGGTGAGGCGATAATAGGTCGGTTCGACCGGAGTGATACCACGGCCTCACAGAAAACCGACGTGACACAACCAGACCGTTGTGTTTCGCCGTTTGAGTGAGGTTGCCTGAGGCTCAAACCTTCCCCTCCCCAAATCTCTAATCCCTAAAATGTTGGCAACGCACTCGTAACGCCTCTGTTGCGGATGTCCATGGGCGGCGCTGATTGCTAATCATTAGGTCTGCAGCTTCGTATGCCATCCTAATACTTAAAACACTAAAGCAAATCACCAAATCAAATACTCTTTAAAAAAATACTCTTACTGACTAAAAATCCTCCTCTTTCCATTCCGGGTCGGGTCGGGGTAAATTATTACGGTTGTACCCGAAAATCCGTTTTGCAATCCTATATCATCAGCCGGAAGACGTCCACTGCTGGACAAAGGCATCCATTGACTCCCCGCGACTCTTACGATGTCGTCGGTCCACCTATCGGGAGGCCTGCCCACAAACCCCCTTTTACTAGGAGACAATATCTAGATTTCATTTAAAAACAATACCTGATCCAGGGATCCGATTGCAAAACCTCTTTTTATTCTTTTTTAAAAAAACCTTGCCCCACCCTAGGATTTTCTCCTGTGTCGTGGGTGCGTTTAAACAACAATTTTTGGATCACTTTGATGATTGTTGTGCGGCAGCCAGTTGCCCAGCTACCGCGCCAACCGCGTACTTGCAATCTTTCTTAACCAAAGAGTCAGTCAAAAGCCGCAAGTTGTAGTCACCAATCGCCACTCCGAACTACCATTCTCGCTGTGTGCGTGTGTATTGAGTGCATGTGTGTGTGTGTGTATGTGCAATTGGTTGTCGACTCTGTCGCTATATAAAGTTTATTATTGTTATTAATACTGGTCATTTATTGCTTCTGGACGATTACTGGAGCTGGTTTACGTGTCGGTCATAGTGTGGACATGCCAAGTGAAATGGATTAACTACGTACCTATCACTTAATTATAATGTTAGCTAATGTAATATTGAATGTAAGTCGATATCTATCTATTTAAAAAAAACATTACGTTACATACATATTACTAGGATTTTCTCCTGTGTCTTTACAAAACCTACAATTCCACAAACTTATAGTGAGTCACACAAAAATAAAATTTGTTCCAGCAATCAAACCTCTAACACGTTGAATGACAGCTTCTTAGTCACCGCGTCAACTGTTCGTAATCGTTATAATCCACAATGTTGAACTATTTATTGATCTCTTTTACATGTAAGAGTGTGTCGCTAAATGACGTTAAACAATTCTTGCATTGTTTTTCGCAGTGTGATTGAGGTTGTCAGAGGCCCAATATCCCATCCCTCCATCTTCAATGTATATTTTATTGTTTGGTTTCTTATACCATGTTTACTTAAAACCCAGTTTCCTTTTTTTCTCGTATTCATGTACCTATCATGTTGATAGTCAATATTCAACATTAAAAAAAATATTTTAATGAAAATTCTCGGGTCTTATCCACTTAAGTCTGTCAATGCGCTGGCGCACGCGGCGGCCGCGACGTGTGTGGTCCCGTGGTACGCTCGCAGGCTGCTCTACATAATATTTAGTTTTCACACGAATTTCTATATTAAAAGGGGGAAAATATTCTGACAATCCCAATAAGAATTCTAGTATTCTTATTAGAATTGAGGAATGTTTTTGATGTTTTCGCGAATATTTTTTTTTGATGCAGATTTTCGTGTTGATTTTTTTTTTGGTTTCGTGAACATGTATTTCATGAAAAAAGAAAACTAGATCTAAAGTTGGTTCATTTAGAAAAGGATGAAAATCCAAACTAATATTAAAAATGCGAAATTAACTCTGTCTGTCTTTTCTTCACGTCTTAACTACTGAACCTGTCTGTGTGAAATTTGGTACAGACATAGTTTGGAACTCGAGAAAGGACTTAGGATAGTTTTTAAACCATAAGTCTGCAGGAAGTCACTATTCCACGCGAACAAAGTCGCAAGGAAAAGGTAGTGTTTCATGAATTGAATTATGCTGTCTAATAAAGACGTTGACTCCTTTGGTACTGCGGGTGTCCTTGGGCGGCGCCACAACACCAAAGGAGCTTCTTGTGCTTTGCCGACCTTTTGGGGATAAGTATTTCGGATATTTAAGAATAAGATGACTTACCGCGTACATCGAGGTATTGGAACAGTTTGCCGGCTGCAGTCTTTCCGTCTGAATACAATTTAGGTGTCTTCAAGGCTAGAGTGAATAGGCTCTTAATAAACTAGTGCGCCTTACCATCAACGATTGTATCACTGCACTCACACGGCGAAACACAACGTTTTGGTTGTTTCACGCCGGTTTTCTGTGAGAACGTGGTATCACTCTAGTTAAGCCAACCCATTCGTGCCGAAGCATGGCTCTTCCACACTTAAAAATAATTATATTGAACAAAGCGTATGGCAGTTACTCATTAAACCACTGAATTAACGAGACAGAAAAAACTGTTTACGACAAATATGCCTTACCTTTCTTCAAATTTTAATTGTAATAATTTGAAAATCAATGTTAACTGCTACAGTTTTTAAATTAACACCACTTAAATCTTATTTGCTGTTAGAAGCCGATGTTTGCCGAAGTCTCCCGATATTTGCCGAACGCTTCCGATGTGTACCGATCATGATCGACTTAAGAAACACGATCAACATTTACATTTTTCATGTTACGTAAAAACAAACTTAACTTTGCGGTCTTACCTCGAACTACTTCTTTGAAAACAGAGCATTTGTAACCGCATTTCTAAATTTGTATTTTAGAATGACGGTTACAAATTTAAATTTGCGTTCGGTTTTTAGGTTAGTTTGAATAGTTTGTATGGGTTTTTAGGTTATGTAAGTGCATTATTAAGTTGGTGTTGAGGTTAATATTGATTTTTGGTTATTATGGTGCATTGTAAAGGTGATTATGAGTCTTAAGTAGGTGAAATCGTGAACTAATATTTAAGGGCAATATTAAATGTAGTTCATGAAGTATTTTTGGAAAGTTTGGACCTTGAATGAGGGCGTTTGACCGTGAAATAGAGGCGATAAAATGTTTTAATACGCATTTTAAATTCCATAAGGGCCATTTTTGACCTTAAAAATAAAAATAAATATTTTTTGGAAATCATAATGCTGCGGTATTACACGTTAGACGTGGGTTTCAAAACTAATCGTGGTTATAACATTTAGATTTGATTTTTCAATAGTCAGATAAATGTGAACTGAAGAATAAAATTGTTGCTGTCACTGTCTTATAGAAACATTCTGACGCGACAGCATCATAATTATTCCGCAGGTAACTCTTATTTATTTTAACCACTGAAAATCAGGCCATAAAGTGATATAATCAGGTAAATTAAAATCAAAGCAAAATTTTATCCGTCTCATTAAATTTC